TTTTTTTTATTTTAAATTTTTTTTATAGTTTCGATCTTTATTGTATAAAATATTAAAATGTATGTTTTATTTTTTTTTATTTTTTTTTAAAAAAAAATTTTTATTAATAAAAAATAGGTTATCGCAAAGAGACCTTGCGGTTAAAAAATTTGGAGAATTAACTAGTATATAAAACAAGAAAATGATACTTTATATGAAGAAATAAAAAAACAACTTGAAGATATTAATAAAAAATTAAATATTGATACTTTAGCAACAAATTTAGCAGATAAATTAAAATCTTTAATAAGTGGAGGTATTAATTATGAAACAGTAAAAGAAAAATATAAAGAAGCATTAGAAGAAACACAAGATTTTTAAAATCAATTCCCCAAGATGTTGATAATTTATTAAAAAATCAACCACCTATTCAAGAACTTTCTATTTCTAATTAATTTAAAATGTGTTTTTAAATAATTATTGTAACATAATTGTTAGCTTAACAAAGTACAATGTGATGATCATGTGATGCTGATGGACCTTTTACCCAACAACTTGCATATTTATTTATTTTTGTTACTTTATTATCGTTATGTATAGATCATTATGTATAATGTTGGTAGGATAGTAATTTATTTCAAACAGGTTTGTAACAGGGTGGGTTGTAATAAGTTTTAAAACTAGTCTAGAGAGTAAATAGTCAAATATTAGTAAACCGTTTTCTTATAAAAATGTTCTGTCAAAGACTTGCAAAAAGGTATCGTCCACTGCCTCAAGTCCTAATGATCTAAATAAAAGCTTCTTTGTCTTAAATTTCTCCCAATAAAGACCTAAACCCACCCTATAACCAAATATTTCAGTTACATTTGGCGATGATGACAGGACCTCAGGTCACCTACTTGGAGAAAATCAATTCGAAAAGGGCTCCGTTCTACTAAATTAAGCCCTGAATATCCTGATTTATATGCTCTACGTGTTCTTTAACGGTCTTGTTCTTATGACCATAGAACAATATTTCACCTAACATTCATTCCCCAAATGCCCTTATCTGACATTCCGATGCCCTAAAATCTAATGTAGTATTAGTAAACCGAAAACAGAACAAAAGACAGACGAAAATTTATACTTATCTTGAAAAAATTTCATGTCTAAGTCCCTTTTCGTACGTTTTGTAGCATATGCCCAATCCCCAACTTGTTTGATGTCGCAATTATTCACAAAAATACTGTTCTAAATAGAAAAAAAAAAAAATTAGTAAAAAATTCAAAAAAAGAAACAAAAGCAAATAAGACAAGCAACCCTATACTTATCTACTTGCAATCTGAAAATCTATTGTAAACTATCAGGAAGATCTAAATGCCAGGAAACCATGAAATTTAAAAAAGAAAAGGAAAGTGGTTAATAAGTAAAAAAAAAAATTTTTTTTAAGAAATAAAAAAAAAGAAGTTCACTTATCTAAAAGATATCTATCAAACCAAGAGCCACAAATCAAATTCTTATCCATCTGGAAGCTCTATATTCTATTCCCCAAGAAGACCTGGCTGCCTGTCTAAAAAAAAAAGAACTATTAATAACCCACCCAAAACCAAAAATAAAAATAAAAATAAAAATAAAGCCTATACTTATCTTACAACCATCTGGCTATGTGAATCCAAGTTCCAATACAAGATCGAAAGCATATATCCCAGGAAACCCTTTTGATAAATACAATAGTTGATGATAAAGATTGGTTTTACTCTGAAGGCATAATTCACAGAGATTGAAGAAGTGTTATAGCTTTCAGGTCTTACCTTATGATGCTCTGTTACTCTTAAGGTTTTGCAAGAAAAACCATTCATACAAACTGCTAAATAGAATACCTTTTGATGGCTAGCGATGCATAGATGTCAACCTATAAAAGAAAAAAAAGATCTATTTTCTAATATATTAAGGCCTTAATTACTATGTAGCTCGAGGGAATTGGTAATATTCATAAAAAAAAAAAAACAAACGAAAATTGTGAACGTATCTAAAGCTCCAAGAAAAAAAAGACCAGAAGAAAAAGAAAAGACCTTGAAAAAATCCTTACCTATCATACCAACTAGAGATCTCAGAATCTCGTCTTGATCCAAGGGCCGTAAGAGAAAAAATATACTCCAAGATCTATACCCAAAATGTGAAGAAAATGCTCTGGTGGAATTCCCAGCAGCACAAAGATCAAAAAAAAAAAAAAAAGGGGAACGTCTAAAGTGGAATAGATTCTTATAATATATATTTTATTGAATTAACTTTAGAAGAAAGAAAAAGGATACAGAAGTAAAAATGTCTACCTGATCTGAAAAGGGCGAAGGACACGTTGCAAGAAAACCAATAACTAAGTTTAAAAAAAGAGGTAGATGATCAAGATAAATATGGCAATTACGTGAATGACGTCACATAAAAAACAAGATGTCAAGAAAGACTTACCTGACCATTGTACTGCCCCGGAACAAACCTAGAAGTTGACCCAGTTTCTGTGAAGCCCTGAAAAATGATGCCAGAAAGAAGAGGTCCTAGAATGAATAAGTTAATAAATTAATAAATAAATAATGATAATATAACAAAAAAGATACACAAAGATGAAAATATTTATCTGTTACACCCGATTTTAAAGTTGATGTAAGGTTGAATAATGATAAAAAAAAAAAAAAAAAATAGATAAATTTAGAAAATTTTAAAAAAAAAAAAAAAATTTGTCGATTTAGTTTTTTTTATAGAGTTTATAGTTTTTTTTTAGAGATTTTAACGATTTTTGGTTTTGAGCTTGTAGTTTTTGATAGTAACAAGTTTTTAGTTTAAAGTTTAGTATTTGAGAATTGTTTAAAGTTTATTATTATAGTTTGGATTTTATGTAGTGAATTGTTTAAAGTTTATAGTTTAGATTTTAGCGAAGTTTATAGTTTTAGTGTTAGCAAATTGTTTAGTTATTTTGGTAAGTTAGTATTAGTGAGTACGTATCTGTAAGTCGCGCGCAAGGAATTTTAGTTGAAGAGAATAAATTGTAGTTGAGTATGTAGTTGTAGGGCATAACAATAAAGTCTGGTCTGGTGAAGAATAAAACCTACGCAAAAATAAAGTTTGGCTATAGATTAGCCAAGAATAAAGATAAAAGTTCTAGTTATGAGTATACCAAAGAACTTAAAACTTCTAAATAGAATTAGTTTATTTTTTATATAGAAGTTTAGTATTTAAAATTTAAGTACATATAGAATTTAAAATAGAGTTTTAGATAGAATTTTTATAAAGTCACTGGTTGACTAGCTCAGAGGACCTCGTATTTTAAGGAGGAGAGATATGTAACATAGTTGTTAGCTCAACAAAGTACAACGCAATGATCACATGATACTGACGGACCTTTTATCCAACAACTTGCAAATTTATTTATTTATTTATTTTCGGTACTTTATTATCATTATGCATAGATTATTATGCATAACGTTGATAGAATAGTAATTTATTTCAAATGGGTTTGTAATAGGGTGAGTTGTAATAAGTTTTAAAACTAGTCTAGAGAGTAAATAGTCAAGCATTAGTAAAACGTTTTTTTATAAAAACGTTCTGTCAAAGACTTGCAAAAAGGCATCGTCCACTACCTCAAGTTCTAATAATCTAAATAAAAGCCTCTTCATCTTGAATTTCTCCTAATAAA